TATATAGAAAAAATTACACCGGGCATGTTGCCAGGCAGAGTGAGTGCCGTGGAGTCAGGCCTAAGGCTCACAGCAACCTCAACTCCGGGCTCAAGCAATCTCCTGCTCAGCTCGCCCAAGTATGCTGGACTACCAGGCATGGCGCCACCATGCCCGCTAATTTTTTCTATATATATTAGTCGGCAATTAATTTCTTGTATTATTAGTAGAGACGGGCGGGGGGGGGGGTTCTCCTCTTGCTCAGGCTGGTTTCGAACTCCTGACCTGAGCGATCCTCCCGCCTCGGCCTCCCAGAGTGCTAAGATTACAGGCGTGAGCCACCGCGCCCAGCCAGGAACCCTTAATTTTTAACATCTTTATAGAGGCGTAATTTATATACCAAAGAATTCACCTGTGTGAGGCATATGGGTCAATGATTTGGGTAAATGTATGGAGTGGTGCAGTGATCACCGCCGTGTGGGTTTAGGGTGTTCCGTCCCTTTCCATCCCTGACTCCCGCGGCAGTGGCTCCTTATTTTCCCCTCTGACCCCGGCAACCACTGATCTTTCTGTCACTACAGATTTGCCTTTTTTTGGTTGCAATATTTGCTTCGTGGAACATATTTAAGGAGTGGCAAAGCTGTGGCTGGTGCTCCGTTGGGGGCCGACTGAACCTCCCTCTCGGTGCACCGTCTCTTCTCCCTCGCGCACGCGCATGCCCGCACACGGTTATCAGTAGAGCGATCGGTCTCTAATCAAAGATGCATGCAACGCATGTGTAATTGTGAGCACGATAAGCACTCTGAATTGGAAGCACACAGTGCGTTAGAAGCCAGAAGGGGAGGTGGTCTGGGAAGGCTTCCTGGAGGAAGCAACATTTGCTCTGGATCTCAAGGCAGAGTAAGAGATGACTAGATCGGTGCAGTAGGTGGGGCGGTGCGGGTGAATGGAACCGTAGGCACGAAGGTCCTGTGATGGGGTGGGTGTTGGCGGATTAGTGTAGCTGCAGGACCACAGTGGCCGCAGGGTATGGGGAGGTGGAGAGGGCCTGTGTTTTGCTTCTGAGGTATTCCCCTTCCCTGCACACTGTGATGCCTGCCCTGACCCCAAACTGATGCCAGGGTTCCTGTCTCTACTTTCCAGGAGCCAGTTTTGCCCCCAGGGACAAGGTGAGGGTGTCAGTCACAGGGACCTAGAAGAAGGGACAGAAGTGAGGTTCAGAAGGGAGGGGCGGAGCCACAGGGGGCGTCATGATTGCTCAGCCCCAGAACGCGCCAGGAGCGCGTCCAAATGCTGTCTAACACCCACAACCGTCTCCTCGCCCATTTTCCAGGTGAGGAACGTGGGTCCCACAAACAGTTCTTTGTTTGTTCAGGACCCACAGCGAATAGAGCACAGACTCCCCTCATTTTCTGATTTCTCAGGAGCCTCTGTGACCCCTGGCCAGTCACCAACAGGACCACCTTCTTCTGTAACAGGTGAGGTCCGGAGGGTTCTCTCCGGTGCCCGGGGTGTGAGCACATGGACCCCCTCTTCTCTTCCCCTCTCCGCCTAGATTTCTCCATTTGTCTCTTCCACAAATTTGCTTTGTTTCAAAAATCCTTTATTTCTGGCTGTAAGGAGGGTGGGTATGCCACGCACATAGACATTCATATGCTGCCCACCGCCCGTCCTGCCCTGGGACGATGGTTTGCAGTGTCTGACACACACGAGAGCGGTCTGAGTGGCTTGCCAAATTGTATGGGGAGCCGTCTTGAACTCTGCCTCTTGATTCCCTGCTTCCACTGTCAGTGGCTCTCAGACTCCCCTGGCAATAGGGATCGGCCTGGAGGGCTTCTTTTTTTTTTTTTTTTCATTTGAGAACAGAGTCCGCTTCGGCTACGAGTCGTCTTGTGGCGTCCAGCCAGCCACAGCAACCTCAAACTCCTGGGCTCAAGCGATCTATTCTGTCCCTAGCCTCTCAAGGTATCCTGGGACTACAGGCATGGGACCACCATGCCTCCGCTAATTTGTTTCTATCATAGATTTAAGTTGACCCAATAGTTCTTTCTATTATAGTAGAGACTGGGGTCTCGCTCTTGCTCAGGCTGGTTTCGATACCCCGAACCGTCTACAACTCGTCCGCCCGCCTCGGCTCTCCCGAGAGATCCTGCGAGGGCTTCTTAAACAACAGACTCGAACCCCCAGATTCGATGCAGCTAGAGTCGGGATGAGTCCAATAATGTCCATTTGTTTTTTTTTTTTTTTTTTTTGAGACAGAGTCGCCGCTGTTGTGTGCCCAGCGCTAGCGAGGAGCTTGGCCCGTGGAGTCAACTACCCCACACGCAACCTCAAACTCTGGTCTCAAGTGACTCCTTGCCTCAGCTCGCCAGTAGCTGCGGCACCAGGCATCGCGCGCACCGCACACTGCCCGTCTAATTCTGTACTAGTCACTTACGGTTTAGTATGGCGCAATGTAATTCTCTACATTAATCAGGGTAGCGTAGACCGGGGGTCCTTGCTCCTTGCTCAGGCGCGGGGCTTTCGAACCCTGACCCATCGAGCAATCCGCCAGCCTGGGTCCTGGCCAGAGTGTCTAGGATCTAGGCGTGAGGCTCCTACCCGGGTCACCGGCTCCAGTAACGCTTCATTTCCCTCATGCAGGTTCCTCCAGCCGCCGCCGCCTGTCAGTTCTTTTTGTTGTGAGGTTAATCGTTTCAGTGTTGGTATTGGTGTGTCGGATGTTAGTTTTACTTATTTGCTTGAGGTTCTCTTTTGTTTTGTTGTTGGTTTTTTTTGTGCTGTGGTGTGTTGTGATGAGCCTGTCGCTCGGTTGATTGGGTTTGTGTGCGGCTTTTTGTTCGTGTCATTTAGCTCGCGCGGGGAGCGTGGGTTCTTGGTTTTCTTTCCCGTGTGGCGTGGTTTCTGCAGTGTGAGGTGCGTTGTGTGTAGTTTGTTTTTTGCGTGGTTATTCGTCGTGTTCTTGGATGTTTGTTTTGCACGTCGTGGGTGTTTGTTGTGTGTTCATGGTTTTTTTTTTGCTGTGTGGGTGTGAGTGTGGCCTTGAGCCACGGTGTGCCACTTGGGAGATACGACCGGCGCTGGATTTTGCGTGGCACGTGTGCCCATCCTCTCCTGCGTGGTAAACATTTCGCAGCGGGAACACTGGGTGCCGATAACTCAGCCTGCGCTTTAGGGAATGATGCGCTCGGGATTGGGCTCGGGCACGTTGCTTCGGCATTTTCGCTCCGTGGGGTGTGCCTTGGGGTGACCGAGGAACAACGGCTCAGTTCAAGGTGCAAGAAGGGATCTGGGAGTTTGAGGCAGGGTTGGGCTCTTATGCCCAGGAAAGCGGGGACACGTACAGCGGTAGCACGACTTGCGCAGTTGCATGTTCGCGCGTGTGTCGTCGTGCGCGTGTGTGTTTCTGATTAGATTTTTTTATTATATTTTATTGAGAGAGAGTCGCACTATTCTGGTTTCATGTTCTGCAGTGGTAGTATAGAATAATCCCATGTCCCCTTTACCGTAGGCCTCAGACGGTTGAATCATCTACATTTAATATGATTTTAAATTTTATTTTTCATTGGTATTTGTTTTGCAGACATAGGTCTCATCCTCCCTTGTGCCGTGCAGGCTATGATGCTGAGCTCGGTGGGTCAGCCTAGGCTTCACAGCACACCTCTAAACTCCCTATGGGCTCAAACCCGAGTCCTGCCTGCCCTCAGCATTTCCGTGATTAACTGCGACTGACAGGCATTTGCCCACCTATTGCCGGCTTCATTTTTTTCATGGCCAATTAATTTCTTTCTATATTCATAGGGATCTGGTCTCTCTCGTGCTAATGCTGGTTTCAGAACTCCTGATCTTGAGGGGATCCTGTCTTCCGCGCATTGGACTCTCAGGAAGTGTCTTGTGATAGCAGGCGTAGCCGACCACGCCTCAGAGTCCCACTCTATATAGGTGGTTCGACCTACATATCAGGCGTAACAATCAGAATCTGACAGGCTAATAGCAGTGTGTGTTTAGTTTTCTAGTCAGCTTTTCACATTGGGTGATGAATTCTGTATGCGCATGACCAGCATTGCACCAGCAGCAGAACCTCATTCTCGCTCCTCACTAAAGACCTCTCCCGGATCGCCTTGCCTTCAGTGTTCACATCCCCGTTACCCTTTGCATGCTTCTAACGCTGGGAATGAGCCCATACGGTTTGGTTTCTCCCATCGTCTGTAGTGCTCTGCTATAGTATGGGACTATTTATATTAAATCAGTCTGGTCATATATACCTTTGAAGATTGCTTCCCCACTCAGTCAGTACACCACCTGTTGCTTGAGATCCATCCAAGGTGTGTATCTACAGCATGTTCCTGGTCGGGTGTGGTGGCTCACGCCTGAATGTGCTAGCCACATCTGGAGGCCCCAGGCGGAGGATCTGGCTTCAAGCTGGAGCGTCGAACCAGCCAGAGCATAGCAAGACCCTCGGTCTCCACTAAGGAACCAGAGAAATAATAATTGGCCAACCTAAATATAGATGAGAAGCAAAATCAGCGCGGCGCATGGGTGGCACATCCTTGTGGTCCCCAGCTACTCAGGGAAGGCTGAGCAGGGAGGATCGCTTGAGCCCAGGAGGCTTTTGAGTTGCGTGTGAGCTAGTTGATGCACAGCACCTTAGCCCGAGCACCAGAGTAATGCACTTCTGACTCAAAAAGAAAAACAAAAGCAAGACACAAAAAAAACCGCCAGCATGTTCCTTCTTGACTTGGCTTGAGAGCTACATTCCATGGCAGTGCACTGTACACACACTGTTTATTAATAAATTGAAATGGAAACAAGGTTTATTAACAAATCTCACAGGAAGCAGAACCGTACACAAGACCAATAGTACCACGCTTATATTACCCAGGTAGTTGAGCATAAGCTGGGTTTAGCTCTCCACCACAGAAGGGCGCAGCGCTTCTGCGACGCGCCGCGCGCTGTGGCTCACGCCTTGTAATCTAGCTCCTTGCGGAGGCCGAGGCGGGCGGATTGCTCAAGGCTCAGGAGCAAAACCAGCCTGAGCAGAGCGAGACCCCGTCTCCTACTATAAACCGAAAGAAACCGAATTGGCCAACTGAATATATACGTATATAATGAAAAATTAGCCGGCATAGTGCACATGCTGTAGCCAGCTACTCGCGAGGACTGAGGCATGAAGGACACTCCAGCCCAGGAGTTTAGGTCTGCTGTGGAGCCCACCCCCCCACTCTACACAAAAAGTGAGACTCTGCTCTCAACACACAAAAAAAAAAATGCACAAACCTTGAGCCAGCATCACCACTTCGGTCACGGCAGCTGGCCACCTCTCGCACGCGTCCTGTCCAGACTGCAGCCATGTCTCCTTTGAGCTCAGCAGCGAGACCTGCTGGATTCCGCTTATTTTTCTGAACAAAGATATCACACGCCGGCCCGCCTCATGCCTGTACCCTAGCAGTCCCTGAGGCAGGATCTTTCCTGAGCCAGAGTATTGAGGCTTGCTGTGAGCTAGGCTGAACGCCGACGGCACTCGCTCTACGCCGAAACAAAGTGAGACAGTCGCGTCTCAAAAAAAAAAAAAAAGATATAAGTTCGCTACCATAAAGTCACTAGAATGGCTCTAATTATTAAAAATGAAACAAACAAATAAATGGACAAAAGCAAGTGTTGGTGAGGATTTGGAGAAACTGGAACCCTCCGACACGACTGTGGGGATGTGAAATGGTGCTTTGAAGACAGCCGGGCAGTTCCTGGAGTAGGCAAACATAGAGAGACCACGCGACCCAGCGATTCCACTCCTGGGCGCGAACCCAAGAAAGAATGCTGAAAGCTTACATTCACACAAAAACCTGGACGTGAATGTTCACAACAGCGTTATCCATAATAGCCCCAAAGTGGACACAACCCAATGTCCACCATCGGGTGGATGGTGGCTTCTCAGCAAGGCGCTGAGGGACGGAAGTAAGTCTTGGGGCCTGAGGACTGGCTTCCTCCGCGCCTGCGCCGTGTGTCAGGCAAGGAACTCGGGCAGCCCGGACGTCTCACCAGGGCTGTGGGGAGTGGGGACCCGCGGGAAGGCCTGACGTTATTTCTCTTGCTTATAACCCTCCTGCTGGGGTTCCCAGAAGCCTCCGGGAAGCAGGACGTCTCACCCACGAGCAAAGCCTCCACAACCGGTGAGTCGCCGGGCACTTAAAGCTCCGCAGAATGCAGCGTGAGGGTGGGGCTCTCTCTTCCCTTGTCTGAGGCTGTGGGCTTTTAACCTGCTTCACTAAAGCGTCTCGCTCTTCCCCAGCGAGTCCTCGATTTGAGGACAGAGGACGTGGCGGAGGTGGGCGCCGAGGCTGGGGCACAGGAGCATTCTGGGTAATGCGGCCATTCTAAAGATGGCGGAGCCAGGGCCATGTCGGGAAGACCACCCTGGTCCCCTCGTGCTGCTCTCAGCTTAAAGCCCCGGTCCTTCCGACTCGGCTCGAAGTGTTCAGTCGTGTCCCCTGTTTGCATGTGGAGCCTGCGTGTGCTTCAGGCCCACGCGGCCCAGAGGTGCCTGGACACGGCACATCTCACTGCGCAGCCTCCGCACACACGCTTTGCTGGCGCTGCGGTTCCCTCTCCCCTCGCTCTTCCTGGAAAGCCTCCATTTCCTTCAGGACAGACGCCTTGACAGATCCCCGGAGGGTAGGCTAGGTATGTCCACTGGGCCCACAGGGCTATGGCTCTCTTTAGACTCCCGATCCCAGAGGGTTCTTTCCAACACTACCCTCAGCTCCAGACCCTCCACTGCCCCTCAGGACGGGGCCGGGTTCCTCATCCAGCTGTTCAATGGGCTTAGATATTCCATCTCTCATGGCCCCTTTGGCCATGTCTGCCCACCTCTGTGCATTCCTCACGCTGTGCTGGGCCACAGGGAGTCGCTTCTGACTCCACAGCCTCCCCGACTCTGCACCCACCCCCTCGCTCTGCCTTTCCTTCCACTTCCTCAGGGGTTAGTAAGAGAGCTAGCGTGTATGGGGTGTTTATTATATGTCTAGCACTGTGCTCACAGCAACCTCAAACTCCTGGGCTCAAGCCATTCTGCTGCCTCAGCCTCCCGAGTAGCTGGGACTACAGGCATGTGCCACCATGCCTGGCTAATATTTTCTATATATATTAGTTGGCCAATTAATTTCTTATAGTAGAGACGGGGTCTTGCTCTTGCTCAGGCTGGTTTTGAACTCCTGACCTCGAGCAATCCGCCCGCCTTGGCCTCCCAGAGTGCTACTGTTGTTGTTTTAATTTTCACACCAACCTATGATATGTTGATGTCATTAATTTCACTGGACAGATGGGAAAATTGGCTCATAGATGTTGTCACCTGCCAGATGTCCCACATCTAATAAGGGGTGGACTTGGGGTTCCAATCTGGGCAGCCTGGTGCTATAGTTCACACTCTTCTTAAATGCCATGGAATTCTGCCTCCCCAGTGCGTGTGTTCAGGGTAGGGACAGTGACAGGGCAAGGGGACATAGTTCCATTTATTCACACGTAGCCTTTTGTGGTTCCCAGAGGCTTCTGGGAATATCACCTCCAGTCCTGAGGAGTCGGACTCTCCAATTGGTGAGTAAGTCGTCCTCCTCAGACCCACGCCCCTCTCGCCCCTGGCTCCTCACCCAAAGCTGCCTCCTTCCCTCCCCCATGCAGGGCTACAGCTCTGTGATCTTGGGTTGGCAGAATATCAGCATATGGAGTTCAGAATTGGGTGATAAGATCAAGTGGGAAGGTTGAGATTTTCCAAAGAGTCAGAGAAAGAGAGATCCCCTCTCTGCCCCGTCCCTGATAATGTCTCCTCTGCAAGTGGTCAGATAACCAGGCAGTGTCCATGTCGGGGAGGGGTTGTATCAGAGGCCTGGAGGGGACACGGGGAGAGGTGCTAGTTAGAGAACTGGGGCCATCCAGCCCTGATCCTCGGTGGGGACAGGAGGGACCCCTAGCCAAGAGATTGGCATCCGCACTAGCAGAGGATAATAGGGTGTCAGGCTGGGGACGTGGTTCTGGAGATGGGCTCTTGCCACCTGCCCCTTCTCTCACTGCTCCAGCCCCTGCCCGGCAGCACTACACCAAGGGCAACCTGGTGCGGTTATGCCTTGGCGCTGTGATCCTCCTCCTCCTGGCGGGGCTTCTGGCAGAGGATTGGCACAGCCGGAGGAGACCCCCGCTGCACAGGGTCCGCGCCCTGCAGAGGCCACTGCCACCCCTCCCCCAGACCCAGAGGTCTCACGGCTGTCTGGATGGAGGTCGACCAGATGCTCGTCACCAGGGGCTGCGTTCCTAACCCTCAGCGCTCCAGGCATGGCGGGACCAAGAGATGGATACGGATGTGTGTGGAGCGGGCGGAGTGTGAGGGAGGAGGGCAGGGGCTCTGGCCGTGGAAAGGCCGGGTATAGGGCCTCTTCCTGGGGCTCCATCAAAGAGCTGTTGAGTCGGCGTCTATTTGGCCCTCTGTCCAAGAATTCCCTCCCACGGGGGCTGGCAGGAATCCGGAGGCCTAAGTCTCCTCGCTGACGTCTTGCACAGTGTGGATCTGTGGTCCCCGACTGGGCCACACTGGCCTCTTTCCTCCTCCCTCTCTGTGGGCTCCACACTGATCACCGACATTCCCAGCCCTCGAGGCTGACCCTGTCCCTTCCTCTGTGCGGACCCCGCCTATGCATCCCCCTTGGCCCTCTGTGCTCGTCTGTCATCCCCAAGTCTACTCCGCACCCTCACCCCGCCTTAGGCTGCAGCCGGGCACATCTTTTGGTTTTTGGGACAGGCCTGGTCCCTTGTGGCAGCTGGTTGTGCTATTGCCTTTTGTGTGAAATGACAGCTGTACCAACACGGCAATGGCTGCCCTTCACATCAGGAAAAGAGCAGGAAGTCCCAGCCTTGTGCTAAAGGCCAGAGCAGGTGAATCCTAGAGGGGAAGCAGATGGCGGTTGCCAGGCCCAGGGAGACCCAGGGGTGAAGAATAACTTAGTCAGCACAGGGTGTGTTTTAGGCTGATGAAAATGTTGTGATACTAGACAGAGGTGATGATTGTGAGACATTGGGATTGTATTGTGCTAAATGTCAACAAAGTGTTCCCTTCAAAATGGTTAATTTTATGTTATATGAATTTCATCTTTATAAAAATTAAAAGAAATTGAAGCCCTGCCCCCTGATAGCCTTGTGTCTCTGTGTGGGGTCATTTGTCCTAGGGAATATGTGGGATCACACCAGAAATGCTACCGTCACCGTCACCAGTCCCGGTGTGTCGATGGGGTCGTCCCCTCCCGTAGGCTGGAGCCTCTGCAGCTGACACAGCTGTCAGGTGGAGGACAGCCTGGGTCCTCCGTGTGTCTGACTCACAGGGGGTTCCAGCTCCTGTCAGAGCGAACCTCCAACCTGGAGATGACCCCCAACCTTAGAAAGTGACTTCCTCCCAGGGTCACCATGAAGATGAGCTAAGATGACATCTGGTGTGGCCGTAGTCACCTGGTGCTGTGACTTTAAGGAATGCATGTGTCATTTTATAGCAGAACTGTAGACCCACACATTCAGTGTGAGGCTTCTGACAACTTAGACAAAAGGGAGGTTCTAGAAGTCTCCAAGGATTAAAACAAACACAAAGAACCAGGAACAAGATAATCAGTACACCGAGGAAAGAGTACTTTCATCCTGGCATTGTAACCTAGGTAGAGAAGGCTGTCTTCCCCCGGACAATGGCTTCCCTCAAGGCACAGTTCTGTAAGCTAGCATCTTGGACACAGAAGCAAAGGGATTTCTAAGTTGGAGGTTAGCGAATCCCAGGAGAATGACTCTGCGTCAAGTAGACGCAACACAACCCTAGCACTTCACGGGTGGGAATGTAAAATGGTGCAGCTACTATGGAAAACCATATGGTGGTTCTTCAAAAAGTTAATAGAATTACCATATGATCCAGAAATCCCACTTCTGGGCATATACACAAAAGAACTGAAAGCAAGGACTTGAACGGGTATTTGTATATCCATGTTCATAGCAGCATTATTTACAATAGCCACATGGTGGAAGGAACTCAAATGCCTGTTGAACGAATGAACAAAATGTGTGTGTGTGTGTGTACATACACATTATTCAGGGCCGGACCCAGTGGCTCATGCCTGTAATCCTAGCACTCTGGGAGGCTTAGGCAGGATGGCTTAAGGTCAGGAGTTGGAGACTCCAGACATTATTCAGTGTTAAAATTGTGAAACACGCTACAACATGGATGAACCTCGAAGATGTGAAAGCTGATCATATGAATGGGGTCATCTGTGTCATACCCAACTAAAACAGTCAAGAAGCCAGGGGAAAAAACACTCAGGGTACATAACATTGATCCAAGTGCATAATTCTCTGCAAGCCTGGCTACTGTAACCCGAGATGAGTTTTATCTAATAGAGTCAGCAGTTTTCAGTAGCTAAGAATAGTTTACCCACTGCCATCAGTTACCAGTCAGAACTTGCCACGCCCCTAACACTTTAGTGTCAGTGAAATTTCTCGAAGAGCAATATGGAACATTTCTTTTTTAAAAATAAAACCTCTAACCTTCTCTTTGCTGTTTAGACATACTGAGGACCACCTGGTCTGTGTGTATTCCCTGAATCACAATTTTGCTTCCCAAATAAAATATTTTAGAGATTTGTCTATTTTTTTTGGGGGGGGACAAAGTCTCACTCTGTTGCCTGGGCTAGAGTGCCATGACATAAGCCTAGCTCATAGCAACCTCCAACTCCTGGGTTTAAGCGATCCTCCTGCCTCAGCTTCATGAGTAGCTGAGACTACAGGCATGCGCCACCATGCCCAGCTAAGTTTTTCTATATATTTTTAGTTGTCCAACTAATTTCTTTCTATTTATAGTAGAGATGGGGTCTTGCTCTTACTCAGGCTGGTTTCGAACTCCTGACCTTGAGCAATCCTGTCGCCTTGGCCTCCAAGAGTGCTAGGATTATAGGCGTGAGCCACTGTGCCTGGACAAAAATTACTTATTAATGCTTATGTAAGCATTGCTAAAATTACACATTTCATTAGATTTACAAAATGCTTAAGCATTAATAAAATGTAATTTTTCCCCTACCTTCTGTTTATTTGCTCATCCCCATATATACAGACAGCAGCATTGGAACTGTTACCCTGAACCTCAGTTTACAGACAGCCCCTTGTTTAGCCTTCTCAGTGTGTGGCTTGCACGGCTGCCCTAGTGCGTTTGGGGATTCTATACGTCACAAGAAACCATTTGCCTCTACTATGGGGAAGGGCTATACTTGCCATGAAATTATGTTTTCTGTAAGTTTGATCTGAAGCTAATCAGAGCAATGACAGGGTCATGTATGAGCTACCCCGAAGCACCTCAGAGCCCAAAATATCATAGGGCTGGTAAGCAGTACTCTGGCAAGGACCGCTCAGCACATGCTAGCCATGCAGGCTGAGAAATGCCAGAACCATGTGCAGACTGGAAGGGCATCAGAAATCAGTGCAAAACACTTGTCACTTTTTCCCCTGGGATACGTTCTCCCCAAATAAGATATCTATTGTCTAATTTTTGTTGGAACCCATTCATACATACAGCTTCCTTCACAAATGCTTTCACCTTTATTTCCCTCAATAGCCCCGTGACATAGACATTTCTATAGTATCTCTAGGGTTCAGTGACTTGTGCGTGCTTTTACAGAAACCAGAGGCAGAACCCAGTGTAAGTGGCATCCAGCCCAGCAACCAACTTATCCCTGAGGCGGCTCCATAGGAGGCTTAAAGATCCATTTCTGTCAATTTTGCCTGGGATGATTGCTGGGCCTCATTTTTAGAGGATTCGTGGTAATTCTATTTAGCTTGAGTCTGTAGGAAATGGAGGCACGGAAAGGGAGGGGAGAGGAAAGCCATTATCTATCAAAATATGTCATGAACGGCCAGGCCCGGTGGGCTCACTGCCTGTACATTCCTAGGCTCTCTGGGAGCCGGGCGGGCGCGATTGCTCAAGGTCAGGAGTTCAAAACCAGCCTGAGCAAGAGCGAGACCCCGTCTCTACTATAAATAGAAAAAAATTTAATTGGACCAACTGATATATATATAAAAATTAGCCGGCATGGGTGCATGCCATGTGGTCCCAGCTACTCGGAGGCGAGGCAGAAGGATGACTAGCCTCAGGAGTTTGAGGTTGGCTGTGAGCTAGGCTGACCCACTGGCACTCAGCTGTTAGCCGTGGACAACAAAGCGAGACTCGTCTCA